GGGGGAGGGGGAGGAGGAGACCAGCGCCTCCGTTGAGCCCTGCGGCGACGGGCCCTGCCCTCGGAGGAGGGCCAGCTGAGACAACGGCGGCTCCGCTCAAAATCGGCCCCTGGACCCCTCGGGGGGTCCTTCCGGACCCGCGCTTTTCAAGCGCATCCCGCCGTGGCGCCGAGGAGCCTCCAGGAGGCCCAGCAAGAACGAGAAGCCCCAGGAAGGGCCGCCGGTGTCTCGACTGGCTTTCCTCCGATGCCCCCCCCACCCCGCCCTGGGCCCCGACGACGCCGCCCTCCCCCCCCTCGCGGCCTGGAACATCTTCAGAAGAAGGAAAGAAACGGAGGAGGAGGATGAGGAAGAGGAGGAGGTAAACGCCGACGTCCGATCGCCCCGAACCAGCCAACACTCACGTAACTTGACAACGGGGCTGGCTTCTTGTCCAATTATCATTCCCGCGGGAAGCCCGCCCCGAAGAGCCGATGGAATTTTCCATGCAAACCTATTCGAACAGGTTTGCGAGATGCCACCTCTCTGAAACCAGTGGCTCACAGGCGATTGCTGCGCCGTCCGTCGCGAATTGCCTGGCCGTTTCGCGCACGGGACAGCCGCAACATTATGAGGATTGGACGCGCTCCTCACGCGAGCCCATACACCAACAACAAACACCTCTAGCACACATCATCAACATAGGGTATAGGACAATACCACCCACCAGGGGCACACGATAACAACATAGGTCAGCGACATCTAGCAAGGTCGCGAACCAACAGCGTGCACCTGCAACAGGCATGCAAGAACGACATCAACGACATCCAATGGCATATGACAAGGACAGACAGCACACACACACATGCGCAAACAACGGCCGTGAGTAGCAGGTACCGAGGCAGACATCACGTAGGGACAGCTACATTCCATATCAGCACCCGGCATCAACAAACACCAAGATCACACATCAACCAGATGAAACAATAACACGCATCATGACCGTGCATTCACAACAAGACACCAAGAACTGGCAACAACTACATCAATATGGTAACAACCAAGAGGCCGCCGAGAGCCTTCCCAAGATGGCCGCGAGAGGCGACATCACTGATGTTCCTTAAGTTGTTCAACGTTGTGTTGCTTCTCCACTGTTCGAGCTTCCGACGCCACCAAGACGTCACCAGAGGCCCCAATAGTCCCCCACGAGGCCCACTTGGGGCCACGAGAGGCCCCCAAGAGGCCCAACAGAGGCCCCAAGAGATACGACAATTACACTTCAGAGGCATCAAAACTGCCTCCAGGCCCCCGAGAAGCCTCGACGAGATCCCAACGACCATCCAAGAGACCTCAGACCATAACCCAGGCACGGTGGCGAGATGGGCCGAAGGCCATTCGATCCGCCGCCCCCTTGTGATTCATCAAAAGGGTGCCTGGCGTGCCAAACGATATGGCTTTTGGTTTTGGCCCGTTTTCCAAAAAAACTCCCCCTGGGGCGTCGGCCTGTCCCGCCGGCCACCCGGAAGACCCGGTTGCCAACGGTTTTCCTACCCAGACGGCCCCAAGATGGCCTCCAAGACGGCCCAAGATGGCTTCCAAGACGGCTAAGATGGCCCTAATATGCCTCCAAGACGGCCCAAGATGCACCCAAGACGGCCTAAGATAGCCTGAAGATGGCCCAATAGGCCCCCAGAGAGGCCTCCAAGACGGCCCAAGAGGCCTCCAAGAGGTCCTCCTGGAAGGCCCGAAGAGGCCAAAATCATTGGTTTTCCTTAGGTTTTTGAATGACTTTGGCATTTGCGCCGTTTCGGCTTTCCGACGGCCCCAGACGGCCCAAAAGGCTCCCAAGATCGCCCCAAGATCGCCCAAGAGGCCTCCAAGAGGGCCCCGTGACGGCCCAAGTGGCCTCCAAGACGCTCAAGATGGCCCCAAGACGGCCCAAGAGGCCTCCAACACGCCCAAGATGGCCTCCAAGACGCCCAAGATGGCCTCCAAGACGGCCCCGAAGCGCCCCAAGAGGGCCCCAAGTCGGCCCAGCAAGGCCCCAAGACTGCTCAGACGGCGTCAGACGTGCCAGGAACCCACCAAGATGGCCGAAGTTGGCTCGAAGCTGGCCCAAGACGGCCCAAGAGGCCCCCAAGAGGGCCTCCAGGAAGGCCAGAAGAGGCCAAACACATTTTTTGTTGTTTGTTTTTGTTTTATGTTTTTGACTGATTTTGGCATTTGCTTCTTTTCGGCCTTCCGACGGCCCGAGACGGCCCAAGAGTCCCCAAACATCGCCGAAAGATCGCACAAGAGGCCTCCAAGATGGCCCCAGAACAGACCAAGAGGCCCCCAAGACGGCCCAAAGAGGCCCCCAAGACGGCACAGGAGGCCTTTAAGACGCCCAAGATGGCATCCAAGACGGCCCTGGAGCATTCCAAGAGGGCCCCAAGTCGGCCCATAGAGGCCCCCCAAACGGCTTCCGACGGCGTCAGACGGACCTGGAGCCCACCAAGACGGCCGAACATGGCCCTAAGATGGCCCAAGACGGTCCACGAGGCCTCCAAGAGGGCCTCCAGGAAGGCCCGAACATGCAAAAATCATTGATTTCCAATAGGTGTTTGAAGGATTGTGGCATTTGCTTTTTGTTCTGCCTTCCGACGGCCCGAGACGGCCCAAGTACCTCCAAAGATCGCTCAAGAGGCCCAAGACACGCCCCAAGAGGCCCCCAAGACGGCCCAAGAGGCCTCCAAGATGCTCAAGATCGCCTCCAAGACGGCCCTACGAGCCCTCCAAGACGTCCTCCAAGAAGGCCCGAAAGGGTCGAAATGCCCTCCAGACGGCCAAGATGACCTTCAAGATGCCCACGTGTTCCCCGAAGGCTTTCCAAACCGATTCGTGGAACACATGGCCCGATAGCTTGGCAGGTCTGGCCTCAACATTCGGCCACATAGGCGCTTCCAAAAAGGCAGGGGGCGGCGGTGAGTCGCCGTAGGAGTCTTCGATCCGCCGCCCCCTGTTGATTCATCACAGGGGTGCCTGGCGTGCCAAGACAGTTCAAGGCGGCCTCCATGATGGCCACGTTGGCCCAAGATGGCCTCCAAGATAGCATCCGATGGCCTCCAAGGCCGCCCAAGATGGTCCAAGACGGCCTCCAAGACGGCCCAAGACGGCCCAGGAGGCCCCCCAGAGGCCTCCAAGACGGCCCAAGAGGCCTCCAAGAGGTCCTCCAGCAGGGCCCGAAGAAGCCAAATCACTGATGTTCCTTAAAAACGGTTGAAGGATTTTGGCAGTCGCTTCTTCTCGGCCTTCCGACGACCCAAGACTGCCCAAGAGGCCCCCAAGATCGCCCCCCACAGCGCCCAAGAGGCCTCCAAGATGTCCCCAGGACTGCCCAAGAGGCCCCCAAGACGGCACAAAGAGGGCACAAAAACGACCCAAAACGCCTCCCAGATGCCCAAGATGGCCTCTAAGACGGCCCTGGAGCACCCCAAGAGGGCCCCAAATCGGCCCAGAAAGGCACCCCTAACGGCTTCCGCCGAAAGTCGGACGGGCCAGGAGCCCACCAAGATGGCCGAAGCTGGCCCAAGGCGGTCCAAGAGGCCTCCAAGAGGGCCCCCAGGAAGGCCAGACAATGCCAAAAACAATGATTGTCCGTTGGTTGTGAAGGATGTTGGCAGTTGCTTCTGGTCGGCCTTCCGACGGCCCGATGCGGCCCACGAGCCCCCAAAGATCCCCCAAGATGCCTCCAAGATGGTCCCAGAACGGCCCAAGAGGCCCCCAAGACGGTCCCAAGAGGCCCCCCAAGACGGCCCAGGAGGCTTTTAAGGCGCCTAAGATGGCCTCCAAGACGGCCCTGGAGCACCCCAAGAGGGCCCCAAGTCGGCCCAGAGAGGCCCCCCAAACGGCTTCCGACGGCGTCGGACGGGCCAGGAGCCCACCAAAACGGTAGAAGATGGCCCTAAGATGGCCCACGACGGCCCAAGAGGCCTCCAAGAGGGCCTCTTGGAAGGGCCGAAACGGCCAAAACCATTGATTTCCCATGAACTTTTGTGAAGGGTTGTGGCATTTGCTTTGTGTCTGCCTTCTGACTGCCCGAGACGGCCCAAGTGCCCCCAAAGGTTGCCCAAGAGGCCCAAGACGGCCCCAAGTCGGCTCAGAGAGGCCCCCCAAACGGCCTACGGGCGTCGGACGGGCCAGGGGCCCACCAAGACTGCCGAAGATGGCACCAAGATGGCCCAAGACGGCCCAAGAGGCCTCCAAGAGGGCCTCCAGGAAGGGCAGAGGATTCCCCATGAATTTTGAAGGATTGTGGCATTTGCTTTTCTGCGGCTTCCGACGGCCCGAGACGGCCCAAGTGCCCCCAAAGATCGCCCAAGAGGCCCAATACGGCCCCAAGAGGCCCCCAAGACGGCCAAAGAGGCCTCCAAGACGCTCAAGATGGCCTCCGAGACGGCCCAAGAGCCCTCCAAGACGTCCTCCAAGAAGGCCCGAAAGGGTCGAAATGCCCTCCAGGCGGCCAAGATGACCTTCAAGATGCCCACGTGTTCCCCGAAGGCTTTCCAAACCGATTCGGTGAACACATGGTCCGATAGCTTGGCAGGTCTGGCCTCAACGTTCGGCCACATAGGCGCTGTCAAAAAGGCAGGGGGCGGCGGTGATTCGCCGTAGGCGTCTTCGATACACGTATAACTGTCGAGTCACACGCAACTGACTTCGAAACCATTCGCAACAACTCCCTAGTCGGGATCGCCTGGAGCAAAATAAAGTGTTGTCAGAAGCTGTAATCAGAATGACGACGCAACCAACCACACTATCGGCATCAAACTTCTACTCCCCATCGCTGGCTGTGAACTCACCCTCTGGTGAACGTGCTGACTGCTGCGCTGTACCGCAACCAACATCCGCCGCACTAGAAGTGCAGCTGTACTGACCTCTCCCCTTCCTTCTTTCGAAGTGCTTGGGTGCAAACTCCGACGCAGGGTGCGCGTCCTCTCTGAGATCAGATGCGCCCCCTTCTCATGCCGACCCACGCAGCTTTTCATGCGACTGCCAGCGGGCGCGCAGTCAGTCCGCGCATTCCGCGCGGCGGCGGCCACTCGGCCAGCCACGCTGACAGAGGGGTGAGGGGCACGCATGCCACGAAGAGCGCCATTTCGACGCAAGCTGGGTGGCATCATTGCGAGGGTGACTACCAAGTGTCCGATTCCGGAAACTCTGAAACTCTGAACCCAAAAACATTTTCATCTCTTGGCAACACATCTTTTACTTCCGCCGCCTTCCGCAGGCCTTCCGCAGGCTTCCGCCAGCGGAGGCGGCCTCGTTTTACTTCCGCCGACCTTCCGCCGCCTTCCACCGAGGAAGAGATGACAGCTCCTTCCATCCTCGAAGGCAAGGCCCTTTGTGGAACGCCTCAAATGGAATCGTCCCGAGATCTCCATACGTAAGAATCCTGGCTGGTGATCGCCGTGCGTTGCGGAGCGACTGCTTTGGCGCCAAGGTGCCGCGAGGCATTGAATGAACGTCCCTAAGCCCCTTCGGGTTCTCAGCACGGGATGTCTCATTGCCAAAGCCCAGACCCCGAGTTCTGAGGGCTTCTGGGCGCCCACGAGGCTTGCCGCGTGAATTGTCTGAAAGCCTCGGGGGAGCGGCTGGAATTTCACACGCCCGCCCTCCTCCTCCTTCTCCTGCTCCTCCTCCTCTTCCTCCTCCTCTTCTTCGCCTTTTCTTTTCCTCCCCCTCCCCTCCCCCTCCCCCTCCCCCTCCTCCTCCTCCTCCTCCTCCTCCTCCTCCTCCTCCTCCTCTTCCTCCTCCTCCGCTTCCTCATCTTCCTCCTCCTCATCCTCCTCCTCTTCCTCCTCTTCCTCCTCCTCTTCCTCCTCCCCTTCCTCCTCTTCCACATAGGGCCCATCCTGGAGCCCCAAGTCGCCCCCAAGACGCCCTCTAACCCTCAAGAAGGTCCCAAGAAGACCCCGCGAGGGGGAACACGAACTGACACTTGGAGCCCTGGGCCCCGAGATGACCTCCGAGACCGCCACGAGGCCCTAATAGGCACCCAAGAGGGACCCAAGAGGCACCCGAGAGGCTCCCAAGAGGCCCCCAGGAGACCCACAAGATGGCCCACCGAGGCCACCGAAAGGCCTCCTAAGAGACCCCAGGATGCATCTAAAACGCTTCTTGTCCACAGCCCAGGCATGTTGGCAGGTTGGGCCGTAGGCGATTACATCATTGAAGAAGACTGATATATCTAAAAAGATGGCGCGCCGAAGGAAGGTGGTTAGTCGTCCATGTATGCACCAGCTCTGTGACTAACTTACTCCTGTCCTGCAAATACCAGTCGCGCAAGTGCGGTCCCACGGGGCTGCGTACCCATGCTCCTTCCCCCAATGGCCCCTCTTTCACAGGCACCTGCCAACAATGTGCGCGGATGTAAGCTTCTCGTGGGGCCCGCAGCAATACAAAAACTGTTGGAGACAACGGTGGATCATGCGCTCATGTGTTCGGTGTAGGCAGGTGCGTGTGCTGCACGCGGTGGCGGAGCCCCCTCGTGAGCACGATCTTTTTACCTAACAGCGAAGACTGATAGGTTTCTAGTGGGGTCAAAAGAGAGCATCTTGACTCCCCAAGGGGGTCTGGGCGGGATCCGGACGGGTGCCGGGTTTTTTAGCCCACTGTAGGCCACTTCGTGGTCTTCGAGTTCAGAGAACTCCATTCCTGGGCATGATTTTGAATGCCCGGAGCCAACTGTAGGCCACTTCGTGGTCTTCGAGTTCCCAGAACTCCATTCCTGGGCATGATTTTGAATGCCCGGAGCCAACGGTAGGCCACTTCGTGGTCTTCGAGTTCCCAGAACTCCATTCCTGGACATGATTTTGAATGCAGGCTGAGGCTGAGGCAGAGGCTGAGGCCGAGGCTGAAAGAGGCTGAGGCTGAGGCTGAAGGCTGAGGGCTGAGGCTGAGCTGAGGCTGAGGCTGAGGCTGCAGGCTGAGGCTGAGGCCGAGGCTGAAGGCAGACTGAGGCTGAGGCTGAAGCAGGCTGAGGCTGAGGCTGAGGCAGGCTGAGGCTGAGGCTGAGGCAGGCTGATGCTGAGGCAGGCTGAGGCTGAGGCTGAGGCTGATGCAGGCTGAGGCTGAGGCAGGCTGAGGCTGAGGCCGAGGCTGAAGGCAGACTGAGGCTGAGGCTGAAGCAGGCTGAGGCTGAGGCTGAGGCAGGCTGAGGCTGAGGCTGAGGCAGGCTGATGCTGAGGCAGGCTGAGGCTGAGGCTGAGGCTGATGCAGGCTGAGGCTGAGGCAGGCTGAGGCTGAGGCCGAGGCTGAAGGCAGACTGAGGCTGAGGCTGAAGCAGGCTGAGGCTGAGGCTGAGGCAGGCTGAGGCTGAGGCTGAGGCAGGCTGATGCTGAGGCAGGCTGAGGCTGAGGCTGAGGCTGATGCAGGCTGAGGCTGAGGCAGGCTGAGGCCGAGGCTGAAGGCAGACTGAGGCTGAGGCTGAAGCAGGCTGAGGCTGAGGCTGAGGCAGGCTGAGGCTGAGGCTGAGGCAGGCTGAGGCTGAGGCAGGCTGAGGCTGAGGCTGAGGCTGATGCAGGCTGAGGCTGAGGCAGGCTGAGGCTGAGGCCGAGGCTGAAGGCAGACTGAGGCTGAGGCTGAAGCAGGCTGAGGCTGAGGCTGAGGCAGGCTGAGGCTGAGGCTGAGGCAGGCTGATGCTGAGGCAGGCTGAGGCTGAGGCTGAGGCTGATGCAGGCTGAGGCTGAGGCAGGCTGAGGCTGAGGCCGAGGCTGAAGGCAGACTGAGGCTGAGGCTGAAGCAGGCTGAGGCTGAGGCTGAGGCAGGCTGAGGCTGAGGCTGAGGCAGGCTGATGCTGAGGCAGGCTGAGGCTGAGGCTGAGGCTGATGCAGGCTGAGGCTGAGGCAGGCTGAGGCTGAGGCCGAGGCTGAAAGGCTGAGGCTGAGGCTGAGGCTGAGGCTGAGCTGAGGGCTGAGGCTGAGGCTGAGGCTGCAGGCTGAGGCTGAGGCAGGCTGAGGCTGAGGCGAGGCTGAAGGCAGACTGAGGCTGAGGCTGAAGGCAGGCTGAGGCTGAGGCTGAGGCGGCTGAGGCTGAGGCTGAGGCAGGCTGAGGCTGAGGCAGGCCGAGGCTGAGGCTAATGCCGAGGCTGAGGCACTGAGGCTGAGGCTGAGGCTGAAGCAGGCTGAGGCTGAGGCTGAGGCAGGCTGAGGCTGAGGCTGAGGCAGGCTGATGCTGAGGCAGGCTGAGGCTGAGGCTGAGGCTGCGGCAGGCTGAGGCTGAGGCAGGCTGAGGCTGAGGCCGAGGCTGAAGGCAGACTGAGGCTGAGGCTGAAGCAGGCTGAGGCTGAGGCTGAGGCAGGCTGAGGCTGAGGCAGGCTGGCTGAGGCTGCAGGCTGAGGCCGAGGCTGAGGCTGAGGCTGAGGCTGAGGCTGAGGCTGAAGGCAGACTGGCTGAGGCTGAGGCTGAGGCTGAGGCTGAGGCTGAGGCTGAGGCTGAGGCTGAGGCTGAGGCTGAGGCTGAGGCTGAGGCTGAGGCAGCTGAGGCTGAGGCTGCAGGCAGGCTGAGGCTGAGGCAGGCTGAGGCTGAGGCGAGGCTGAAGGCTGAGAGGCTGAAGCACTGAGGCTGAGGCTGAGGCTGAGGCTGAGGCTGAGGCTGAGGCTGAGGCTGAGGCTGAGGCTGAGGCTGAGGCTGAGGCTGCAGGCTGAGGCTGAGGCAGGCTGAGGCTGAGGCTGAGGCTGATGCAGGCTGAGGCTGAGGCAGGCTGAGGCTGAGGCCGAGGCTGAAGGCAGACTGAGGCTGAGGCTGAAGCAGGCTGAGGCTGAGGCTGAGGCAGGCTGAGGCTGAGGCAGGCTGAGGCTGAGGCTGAGGCAGGCTGAGGCAGGCTGAGGCTGAGGCTGAGGCTGATGCAGGCTGAGGCTGAGGCAGGCTGAGGCTGAGGCCGAGGCTGAAGGCAGACTGAGGCTGAGGCTGAAGCAGGCTGAGGCTGAGGCTGAGGAGGCTGAAGGCAGGCTGAGGCTGAGGCTGAGGCAGGCTGAGGCTGAGGCTGAGGCAGGCTGAGGCTGAGGCTGTGACTGCGACTGCCGTTGCCACTGCGACTGTCATCGCGAATGCGACTACGACTGCGAGAACAGCAGAATTCTACAACTGGATTCTCATCTGAATCTTAAGGGGAATGCTTCCAAATATGCTCCGACACATCGCTGTTAGGTTGCTTTGCCGGGATAAGGACCGAACCGGGCGGGACGGCGCCGTGCGAGAACCAAATTTTTGGGCCCGCGAAATTGGGCGCAACGCACAGCCGCGGGCGCCCAGACCAGCAACGCCCGGTCCGGCACCTGGGGCAGACTCTCGATCCGCTGCGCCGCCAGGCGTGCAAAAGCCGCCGCGCTGCCCTCGGCGGCCGCACTGGGGCCGAACTTACCGGAACTCCACACTGTTTACCACGACCCCTGTGCCCCACGGGGATGGGCGGGGCGACGGCGTGCGAGCTCCCGTGCTGGGGCCGCATCGGCAGCTCCCTACGGGACACGATCACTGTCGCTGGCGACTCACGGGAGCCGCCCGTGCCATCCTGCTGGCTCTTGCAAATCGACGCTGCATCGACGCTGCATCGGCGCCTTCCCATCGATTACCAGACGCTGGCCCACGCTGACGCACTCGACGCGCGGAATTGCCAGAACACGCAAGGCTTCCATGCTTTGCTGCCGAACGCTCCGATGGAGCTTGCCGAGACGTGGGCGAAGCCGGCGGGCGCCCCGCACTGGGGCCACAATTGGAGCGCCCGGCGGTGCACGGAAGCAGGGGCAGGAGCTGGAGGACGGGGACGTGCCCAGAGGTCCAACGCACTGACAGCAATCAAGGCGGAAAATTTTGTTCGCAACTTTCGGTCTCCAGGGGCCCTCCCTGGGCCCCGGGACCGTCAGAAATGGCCCAGGATGAAACACCGGTCCTGGGGGGATGAGGTTGAGACTTCCGGGGACCCCGTGTTGAAAAAATCACGTCATCGGATTTCAGGGCTGGGCGGGCGTAGGAGGCGCGCGGCGCAGCGGGAAGAGCACGAGGACCCGCTTCCACGGGAGGACTGGGGAAAGGCAGGGTGCTCGCGTGCGCTGTGTTCGAAGCCAACGCATGGTAGCTCTGAGTCGTCCCCATGGCGCCCAATAGCGTGCCCCATCGCGCGCAAAGCGGACATAATGCATCTTCCTCACGTGCCGCTGTTGGGCGGTATTGGTCGCTGTTGGGCGCTATTTGACCGATGCGCGGCGCTTTGGAGCGCTGTTTGGCGCTATTCGAAGCCATTGGGCGCTACTTGCCGAGAAACGTTCCATCGAAGACGAGCGGCAGCTCCCGTGATTTACTATCTCACGCGGTGATGTGCCACGTTGGCCATTTTGACAGTAGATGGTCGAAGGTCGGTGCTGAGGGCAATGATCAACGAGAGGCTCTCCCTGGGCCCTTCTCCGTCCTACCAGGGAGCTCAGCGTAGCGGCTGCGAAGGGGAGCGCCCAACTATGAAGCTCGTTCGCTTTGCTTGCAGGTCACTAGACTTGCGGCCGCTGCGGTCGACCCACAGTCTCGTGCTGCGAGGGGCCCTCCCGATCAGGGTGCGCGGAACAAGATCATGGCCACAAAGGTGTGCACTCTTACCGCTGTTGAGAAAGCGCGCTGACCAATAAAATCCGCCGACCCTGTCGGCGTGTGTGAGAGGCTTGGCTGTTCGAGTCGTCTCGTCTCCGTCGTCCCCTTTCCCTGCACCCTCCTCTTCAAGCTTGTCAGCGAAAGAAAAATCCAGCAATATCGCAATCGAGGGAAGCCCCTTCCCTTTGATCCCTTCCCCGCGCCGGGGGGGGGTCCCCAGGGGGTCCCGGAGGGGTCCCAGATGGTCTCGGGGGGGGGAGAAGGCTCGCCACCCAGATGCGCTTTCCCCCCCTGGGGGCCCTGGGGCCAGAAAGCGCCAAGACAGGCCAAGAGTGTCCCAAGATGCCGCCGGGACGGTCCAAGAGGTTCCCGAATCGCCAAGCGATCGGTCCAAAACGACTTCGCGCCCTCCAGACTGCCCAGGAGGCCTCCAGGACGCCCCAAGACGCCTCCAAGAGCACCCCCGAAAGGACCCCAAAGAGGCCAAATTCATTGATTTGTCGCTGGTTGTTTTAACGTTTGGGCTTTCTCGCCTTTTCCACTCCCCTCCGCTCCAAAACGGCGCCAGAGGCCCCCAAGATCTCCGCAAGACACCCCAAGAGGCCTCCCCAAAGGCCCCAGAACAGCCCAAGAGTACCCCAAGACAACCCCAAACGCCTCCAAGACGGCCCCAGTTGCCCCCAAGACGGTTCCAAGAGCGTGCCCAGACGGGGGACCCGAACGGACATTTCGAGCCCTCGGCCCCAAGAGGCCCCGGGAGGCTCCTAGAGGTTCCCCAGAGGCCCCACAAAGGCCCACAAGAGGTCCCCAGGAAGCCCGAAGAGGCCCCCAAGAGGCCCCCAAGAGGTCACCAAGAAGCAGCAACAATTCCCCCCACGAGGCCCCCGAGAGACTTACGAAGAGACCCCAAGAACCATCCCTGAGGACTCTGGCCCACGTCAGCGTCGTCGTCGTTGCCGCCGCCGCCGTTGTCGTCGTCGTCCTCCTCAACGTCTCCCTTTAGGGTAGGCGGCACCAGCCGTAAGGCCTTCGCAATGCGCACGAAAGAGCAGGACGCCGTAAGGACGACGACTCGAAATTTAACTGCAAGGGCACATAGCTGTGTAGTCGGGAAGAGTATTCAGGAACATTGCTTACAGATCGACACATTCGGGGACCGTCTATTTGAGTGGATCCGTAGAGAGTGGTGGAAGTGCTCGATATCTACGAATCCGTATTTAAACGTGGGCACGCTGCCAACCTTGTACTTCGTGCTAGCTGTGACTGAGTCGACTTTCGCCCTCCAACAAGCAAACGACAAGACAAATGCCCTCACAGATGGGCCGAAGATGGTTTCCCCTAGCTCCTTTCTTCCCTCCGCTTCGCAAGCCTAGAAATCGAAGATGATGGCGTTGCCATCGTCTCCGGCGCAAATCAGGCTACTCCCAGTGGCTCCCATGCAGCGTACCGCATTCTCGCCAGCATTCAGTGAATACTTGTGCTGGCCGCTTCGCACCTCAGGGGGCATCACTAGCGAACTGGTCATCACGCGTTGGCCCATCATCGAGCGCCTTGGCTCTATGTACTGCAACCTCCTGAAATTGTACTTCCACTTTGCGGGCGCCAGGAACTGCATGCATCT